ATATACATATATATATGTATACATATATAAATATACACAATCGCCAAGTACTCTTATATGTTTTAGAGAAATAACTTCAAAGGCGAATAATAATAGTAACTGTTTTGTTTAACATGAGCATATTTTGCTCATACATASATATGAGTGTATATGTAAATATCTGCAGCTACATAAAAAAATTTCTTTAGATTTATAGAACTGTATTTTTGGCTTGTACAAATCAGTGAAACACATTTGCATGACATCATCATACTCAACCGATACTATGTACTCAATAAGAAATTGATGAGTTTTGCAAATTTGAAATACATAACAAAAACTAATTGTTGCAGCTACTGAAATTAAAAAATTGTAAGACTGATCGATGGTTTTATAATGAATATATATCATATTATACATATTTATAGTTTACAATTATCAAACTATTAGGCTTTAAATTTACGTATAATAACTCGCAAATTGAATGTCAACGTGATATCCAGAACAATTTTTGAACCAAATTTTAACAGTTTGTAGTAAAAGTTATGATATAAATTGTTATTGGCACATAAACAAAACTTTTTACGAATGTGATAAAAGTGGATGTGATTTTTATGTGTATTGGATTATCTAAGCAAATGTTTTAAATGCCTCTAAAATTATTTTGGAATTAACGATAACAATTTCTAATCGCAATCGCATACAATTAAACAAATGTGCTAGTAAGGTCGCTATTAAAATGCTATGCCCAATAAAAGTTATAACAAAAGAGCCAAAAKAATAAAATTAAAAGAAAGTATGTAAAATGATCTGTGCAAATTTAAGTAAGAGGTAAAAGTAAATGATGTGATTCAATATTTTAGAGATAAAATGTATTTTATACTTTYTTTACATATGTGTGCATTTATACAAAGAAATATACATAAGTTTTGGGGGCGCTTGCCATTTTTTTCCGCATGATACAGCCAAATCGCTTGTAACAGGGGCTCAGTGTAGAAAATATAGTCGTATACTCACAGATATCATATTCATAAGATGTGATCCCCTAATAGTATGCTTTCATTATCCTCTGCCCATTTTTAGGAAGAATTTATGCTTGAAAATGAAATTGTGGGGAATGCGAACGAGCTCAACATTAACAGAATAGCAGTTGGCGATGGTTTAAATGATGTGGACGAGAAAGAAAATATGGTAAAATCGAATTTACAATTAAAACAACTACAACACCAACAACAAATAAAGGAGTGTAGAACAACAAATACAGAAAAATCATTCGCTTTGCGAAAAGATGCTTTTGCGAAGCGGGGCAACGAGTTTTCAGATGGAGGAAATGTTCTTATGCTTACTCATCACGACAACCAACATTTTCACTTCGAATATGTGACCCCCAAGCAAGATGAGGACGCGCTGGATACAATTTCCGTTGTGGAACAGCACACAAAATGTTTTCAAACAGATGAAAAACTGAACAGTGAAAAATTAGCCATAAATCAAACGAATCGAGTTCCATTCGCGCAAAAGCATATGAAAGATGGAGTGGTGGTTAAAGGGGAATTTCCAGTTGACAACAACAACCCAGTAAGCAATTTAGATTTCGCCGCAATGGTAGCCGAGGCTTGCGAAGGAATTTTTGATGAAATCGAAAACGATTTGAGAGCATACAATAACAATAGCAATAATAATAGCTGTCATGATAATGAAATATTTTCTGAATCTGTATGTGAGGAGCGTATTGTGAAGAGAAAAAAACGATCGCATAACTCGGAAGCGGTACAACTTGCTGCAAATGCCGTATTGGATGGTCGTATGAGTTTAGGGGAGGCTGCTAAGTGTTATAATGTTGTGCGTTCAACCGTATCTTCTCGTGTCGCCAAACATCCGAAACGTAAAAGACGAAAATCGAATAAGGAATTAGAGGAACTAATTTACAGTAAACTGAAGGCCGGCGTTCAAATTTCGGAAATTTCGCGCTCTTTACATGTTCCTAAGTCAACTGTTCATTTATATAAAACAAGATTGAAGAATAACGGATTGTTGCCTGGAGTTTGGATTAGGAATGGCAGTAAAGATATGGTTGATCATGGTGTTCAAGACAGGTTAATGCAAGCATATCGTGGTCATATTGTAAACGGAATGTCGGTACGTTTCGCAGCTGAATTTTTTTCGTTACCGCTCACAACCTTATGGCGATACATTAAACGCAGAAAAGGTCCCACAGTGAATGACATTGACGATGATATTAACAAATTTGAAAATGAAGAATCAAATGAGAAAAAAAGTTGTGTTAACAACGCTTCAAATGACTATGACGATTTAGAAATTGAAGAGAATCTGCATATTAATGAAATGAAATCACCTCGATCATACCCTACAGGACTGGGGACAGTTTTTGAAAAAGAAGAACAAACCATAGAACAATCTTTATTAAATCAACTGTTAGAGTGACATAATGTTACAAATTGTTTTGGATCTCAATAGTTGAAATTGTATTGTTAAAAAGAAAATTCAATAAATAAAAAAATCGAGAATATTTTGTGTCGATTTTTAATAAACCGGTATTTTAATGTAGACGCATTTAGGCGCGTCTCGTGATTTCGGTATCGCCTAAATATAAGTACATTTATTGAGTAATTGGCGTGATTCAATTTCTCTTTTGTAAATTGTTATCATAATTAACTATTTAATAATTAGTATCAGTTATCCTATTGAAATTGTGAACCGACATCTGATTGAAATTAAACAAATGCTTATTAAAATGTGAGTATAAAAATTCTATGTAATGTGTTTTATATTTATTATTCATATTTAGTTCAGGATCAACAGTTCAAGGTGATATGTTTTTATTTTTATGTTGTCTTCTTCAATAGTATTTATGTATGTTATTGAAATTCAAACGTTTCAGAAATTTGAATACTTTTAGTGTAATCTGGAATTTATATATAGACCTTTTAGTGAGATAGTATCATCTGTAAACTGATTAATTTATCTTACAGGCCTCTACAATCGATGGCAGGAGAAAGGGCGCTTGCCTGTTTTGCCAGGAATACTTTATGGATCTGTATCTTTTGGCAGAGCTTAAAACTATCAGTTTGAAGGTAATAGATTTAACAACATTATATCCATTCAATATAAACGCACTAGATGAAAATAATTAGGTTACGACGGTGGATATGCAAAAGCCGCCACCCGATTTTCGGACCAATTTCGAAGCCACACATCCACCTATTCTAATTGATAATGGTTTAGCTATCCTAGAAAACGATAAAATTGAAAGGCATATCATGAAGAATATTCCTGGCGGTTACAACTTGTTTGTACAGGTATAAGACATATAATTTATTTCTGAATACATATTATTCTGAATTTACATATTTTTACGTTTCGTTTGTCCACAGGATAAAGAAGTGGCAACGCTGATCGAAAATTTGTACGTTAAGCTTAAACTTATGTTGGTGAAGAAAGATGAGGCTAAAAACAATGCTTTATTGAGTCACTTAAGGAAGATCAATGACCATTTGGCTAATCGAAACACACGTTTCCTGACCGGCGATACTATGTGTTGTTTTGATTGTGAACTTATGCCGCGGCTGCAACATATTCGTGTAGCAGGAAAATATTTTGTGGATTTCGAAATCCCGGTATGTATATAAAAACAAAAAACGTATTTAATTTACAACATTTTAAATTTGTTATTGTAGACACTTTTCACCGCTYTGTGGCGTTACATGTATCACATGTACCAGTTAGATGCCTTCACACAATCGTGTCCTGCAGATCAAGATATCATCAATCATTATAAGTTACAACAGGTCTGTCAAATGTTTTATTAAGCGATCTTAATCAATAAATTAAATAAATTTCAAATTTTCTAAAATTTCAGATGCTAAAAATGAAGAAGCATGAGGAACTTGAAACCCCAACATTTACTACTTCCATTCCAATCGATATTACAGAGTAAAGTCACTGTAATGGTGAAAATAGAAGAGATCAAGATAAAGATTTAGCTTACGCTCACCTTAATCCACATAGCATTATTGGGTTCCAAACCTTGCTTTCAGTTATATTCCAATTTAATATACATGCCTACATATAACACTTAACAAAGGAGTATTTTTTGTTGTTAAAAATATAATTGAAGCGAAAATATAATTATATACATGTTTATATACATGAGTTGTGCTTGCATATGTATTCTGCTTCGCATTTATATTTTTGAATTAAGTATGTTTTGCTCAAAAATTTTATAATCACGAATGTTTTTATGTTAGTTTGAAACTGACACTTAAAATAAGTATTGATCCTATTTTAATTAGAAAAAAATATATAAAAGGAGCCCCACTATTTGCAAAATTTAATTTAAAATAATCTAGTTCTGTCATAAAGGCTACAAAACAGTTAAATACACTGAAATGAATTGCACCATGAAATTCTAAAAATGTATTTAATAAAATTTAAATCACCGGGATATATTTGCATACATATGTACATTCATTGTCAACATTTTTTTTTTTAATATTAAATATTCATTCGCAATTTTTTAATAAATTAAATAGGCAAATAGATTATATTTTTGTATATACATTATAAGTATGTATGCGTCATACAAAATAAATAAAATTTCGTGCATATACTATTTGATATAAAAGCAACAATGAGTTATGTTTAATTTGACTTACTGACGAATTTTGTGAGAAGTTTCAATTATAAATATATATTAAATATTTTATCAATTTTAAATGTGGATTCACATATTTTTATGATTTGCTTTTTATCAGATATTTTTATTTATATACATAGTTTATACACATTGAAACATTTGAAACTTTCACAACATAACAGAAATATGTGTTTGATTATAAAACTGTACGTATAAATGTATATATCGTCATCTGAAATGCAAAATAACGTAACAAATTTACAGTGACATAAATGAAACACGAAATAAAATGGAACATTGGTGAAACAAAATTTTAATATTGGTTAAAACTGGTTTATATCTGACAGCATAACCTGAAAATGTTTAACATATGTAATATTATGTATGTAATTTGAAGTAGTGAAGCGTAATCAATAAGACACTCAATTTCGAATTTTTAGATAATACGTTATTTTCAGGTGACGACATGTATATACAAGAAATGAAAAATTAATGGTGGTGTTTAAAAGGACGAACATATTTAGCATGATGTTTAAGTCTCTTTAACTCAAAGGGAATAAGGCATCTTAGAAACATATTTGTTAAGAAACCTGTAATGCCCCAAACTTTATTATGTCCAACAACGAAATTAGGAGTACTCCACCCTCCCTTAAATTGTGTATGCTTTAACGTTTTGGGATGCACCAGCTCCCTGACGGATATTAGAAATGCCTCTTCAACTTCATCCGCATTGAGTTTTAACTCTTTTAGATTAAAGTCATTAACCGCAGCCACAACAGGCATGATTGCAGCGGTATGCGAAGGGGTTATGAGAGTGCCTGATCCCCAAATATTTAATCGATTTCGAGTTAAACCGACTTCTTCCTCCGCTTCACGTAAGGCACAGTCTATAAAATCACTGTCTTCAGAATCCTTAAGTCCCCCTATATTTATATAAAAAAAGGAATATATAAGAGGTTAAAGTAATGGTTATGGTTGAAAAACAAACCGGGAAAGGATATTTGTCGAACATGCCGAGATAGTCTACTAGAGCGCCGAGTGTAGAGTATAGAGATTTCACCCTAGGAAATTAGGAAATAACAACCACTTTACTATGGTAAATCAAAATTAAAAAACACTACTTTATTAAAAACACGCCACCGCAGCATACATCATATATGGTTATCAAAAAGGAGTTCTACGCGAAACTACGCGGGGGCGTTAATTAGCCCTATCACAAAATCCATCGTAAGTTCGAAATTCGTTAAGTGGCAGTTAGCGAATACAAATTTTGCTTGTATATTCAATTTGAATATAAACGATTTCAGTTTTATTTACGAAAAYTTAATTTTTTTTCTTGTACCCAACTTATTCGAAATGACAAAGCTTTGCTAAGATGGATTGCGTGATAGGTAAGTACTAAATAAATTTTAATTAAACCAATAATTGTTACATTCAACCAGCATCGAATTTAATAAAAATCTAGTTAATTTAAATATAAATGTAGTTAGAATGGAACAAAATAAAACTTGTACAGAGAGATGCTTTGACTTATCATTGGAGAAATGGACTACTTCGTMAGCAGTCAAACTAAAACGTTACTGGTTTAGTCGTTAAGGAATGATTGTTGCACAACGTATTCATACTTCATTCCTGCTGAGCRTATGTGGGCTTATAAGGCTGCTCATCAGGAAATATGGGAATATTTACTGAACTTACAAACCATGATATAGGGCAAAGGTGTACGTTCATGAAATTTTAATTTTCCTTCAAAAATGTTAAAATGTCAAATTATGCAAACTGTATAAGTTTTATTTGTTTTCGAAAACCGAGTTATTTTGCATTTCAAATATATGTATTTCGATTATTTTATGAAAATKAATAAAGCGGCTTTGTTCTCAATTTTCGATCCTACTCAAAATTTTTCATAGTATAGTCACTTCAAAGTCAAACCATCTCCCTATCAAGTTCTGTTTTGGTTCACTAGAATTTGAAATTTAACAAAAATGTTCATTTAATTTACTTATCTCTACCTAATGTAATTTCCTCACCATTTCATCTTTGCAGAGACATATGAGGACAGCGGCGAATGACCTCTCTTTTGTAGTTTGTCCCATCTTCAATCCAATTTGTGGTGTTTTCTTCATACATTGCATTGCGCGTTGTTTATTTTCTTCTGAAAGTAAGATTTCTGACCGTAAGAATTTGTCAACACAGATATTATCGTTATGATTTGGTATTCTTGTTCGTTCCGTTGCAAATATGATAAATGGACGTCGTATGATTCGAAACATAAAACATCTTGAAAAATGTCTAACTAGCATTATAAATAAGTAAATATTTTAATCAATGCTCATATTTACAAGTGGTGTCATCAAATCAGCTGATTGCTTATTTGTTCGTATTTACAGAGAACGTATATTATAGACAGAGAACGTTTATCAAATCATCATATACGTTCTCTGATTACGCTTTATATGTATGTATGTATGGCTAATGGTATTAGGAAGGACAATATATTATATGTATTTTAAATATCCTAAAAACAATATACAATTTTTACGAATTGTGAAAAAAAAATGAATTTGGCCGGTCATTTGCACAGTACACAGAAAAGCCGTGGGCAGTATGTTTATTTGRCAATGTACWCATGAACGAGTTTGCATATACATATTGTATGTATRTATGCATATGTAAGTAGTTTTTTCTATTAACTCATAAACGCTGCTTTTTGAAAAAATCGCAGACATTCTTTTATGTGCTTATAATGTAAACATCACTATTAGAATGATTTAAGGTTTAAAATAAAACTCACCAATTTATGTTTTGATCTCATATAACAAGAACTATTAAAACAGAAAAAAGTCACTGGAAAAGTTAGTAATATATAATCTTAACTGTTGTTATTTGAACCGAAGTTAATTTTAACATAGAATATCTGATTAAGTGCTTAAGTGGTTATAGTTATGCTAAAATTACAATAAATATCGGGATTTTCTTTCAAAAAGATATTTATATCATCCACTTGTAGACACACATTGGTGAAGAATATATAGAATCTATTATTAAACTTTTACATAGTTACATACACTTCGATTACTTTTTATAGGGCAAATACAGAAGTTATATAGTACACTAAATATTATTGGAAACAACAACCGGCTTGAATTCTATCTTTTATGAGAGCAATAAATCTTCAAATTTTATTTCGCAATTCATGCCATGATTCAATTATATAATGTTATTTATAACTCAATTATATAAGGTTGTGTCCACAGCCCAAAAATAACAATTTGTCAAAAATAATTGGAACCATAATATTATTATCAGCTGTTTTGTTTTTATGTTGCAAAAATAATTTTTTTTAGATTTTAACCTAAGAAAATACGTTTTTGAGTGATGACTGAATACGAATAGATTGTAAATAACACATTCAAAATGTTAACAAAGAATTCATGTGAAAAAACAACAGATTTTGACATTATGGATTCAAAAACTTCTTTCGTAAGACAAAGAAAGCTTCGCATCTACACAAACTTCTATAATTGAATTATGGTTATGTTATTTCGGAGCGGGGTTTCTCTAACGAAAGAGAACTTTTACCCCATAATGACAAAAAACTTTTGTTGTTATTTCATGACTTTTTGGTTTAGATTTTGATTATATTGTGCGATTTACAATCTATTCCCATTCAGTTATCACACAAAAAGCACATTTTCATTGAATGAAATCATTGAGAATTTTATTTTCAAAGCACAAAACCGAAACGGTTGATTTTGATATTAAGAATTAAAATACTATTTTATTAATTCCCTCATTCCACACATTTTCAATTATATTGTCCTTTTTTATAGGTTTTTTGATGCTTTCCTCTTTCCTTCCTTCCTTCCCTTTCCTCTTTTTAACCAATTAATGCCAGCAGTTTTTATTGAGATTCCTGGCCACGTGTCAGCCTCAATACCTAAAAAAAACTTTTCTTTAGTAACCTGTAAGTGTTTGCAATAAATTATTGAAAAATCCATTTCAATATTTTTATGCTCTAGGTTGAATGATTCCGGTAATAAACGAACAGCGGTTTCAAAATTCAACTGTATTTTTGGCACTCACATATCCCCAAACCATTAAATGGGGCAAATGCTTCACGGTAGGCAAAATACAACTTCCCAAAAATGGCTCTTCTTTCCTACTACGCACATTGACATTTCCACTTGGTCCAAAAAATTTGGATTTGTTTTAAAAAATAACATTTCGACAGTCGAATATAATCCAAAATGTGTGATTTTGTTTACTCCATTCGCCGTTTCTTCATTCGGTTAATGATATACGGGTTTTTGGCTGGACGTCGCGCCCATAATCCAAGATTATTTAGGACATTTTGCATTAAACGWGGATTTATTTTTACGTCAGTTCTTCTTCTTTCGGCAGCCCACTGCCTTCTTTCAAGTTAATGAATTAAAATTCGTATAATCTTTAATTACATTACGTGTTCTCCAATTACGTCTTTTTATCTAAGCTACGATTTCAGCTTTCTTTTCTATTGAAAACATAACTTTCAACTTTACTTCTATTCACAACTTATTCAAAAGAGAACACCGCAAGTACTGAAGAATTCATGTGCAGAGACTAACAGTTTCAGAAATAACGGTAAACTAATCTAGTTACATAATAAACAGACCAAATATGACGGTGTATTTTGAGTGAATAGTGACAGTTTCAAAATGGATTATTAGGAAATTTTTGACTGCATGGATAACAGTAGTTTCTACTAAATGTGCAAATATGTAATAAAACTTTTGGAAATTTTGCTCTTTACTATTTCGTTCAATGACTACATATACGCATACCATATGTGGGAATGTATGGCAGATAATTCATTTAATAGTTCTTTATCAGGTCTTTTTYAGGTTCAGCTTAAGTTCTTTTATTCCCAATTAAATGCATCTGATTAAAAAATTAAAGTTACAACTTTTTTGTTTCAAAATTATATTACCACTCAAATTTTAGCTTTTCTATGTGATTCCGCTTAGACGAATTAGAAAACATTAATCAAACCCATTTATAAATTTTCGTATAATTTGCATACCATACCAGTTACTGAGCTCCAGGTAAATCACTTCCTGTTCTACTCAATTGCTTCACATACATACCTGCAGTGTATTTACGAGTAGTTGCGACTGGATGTTGCGACTGGAGGATACAATCATGTGTAGAAGTTCAGGCAAGTGAGGAAAGTTCTCTGATCGCAATTCACTTGGGAGTGAGCAGRAACGATTCTTTTACACATGGGGCAAGCAGCTCACGACTTCCGGTCTTTGACCAAGTATCCTCTGGGTAGCCTAAGAATATCCGTTTGAAAGCCACTAAAGTGWAAAGGCGAAACATCCCCTACATAGGGTTGTGTGCTGAGTTTGGGACCGCCACGTAAAAAAGCACTACCAATGAAAAATTACCAACAGCCTCGGAAGAGAAACTCCCCTTTTGATGAYGACCGTGGCAAACGAAATAAGGACTACGRTTTAAGGGCATGTAGCTGGAATGTCCGGTTCCTTAATTGGGAAGGTGCCGCTGCCCAGCTGGTTGATGTCCTCGTGAAAATAAAGGCTGACATCACCGCCGTCTAAGAAATACGATGGAGGGGACAAGGACCGAGACGAGTAGGTCCTTGTGGCATTTACTACTGGGATTCGTGGTAGGAGAGAGTCTCAGTTGCCGAGTATGAGCCTGTAAATCCAACGCAGGATAACTCTTGCCGACAGGTGTTACTTCGGACTGAGTAGGCAATTGAGAAGCAAAGTCCTCTCTCGACAAACAAAAACCAAACTTTATAAGTCACTCATAATTCCCGTCCTCCTATATGGTGCAGAGGCTTGGACGATGACAACAACAGATAAGTCGGCGTTGCGAGTTTTCGAGAGAAAAGTTCTGCGAAAGATTTATGGTCCTTTGCGCGTTGGCCACGGCGAATATCGCATTCGATGTAACTTTGAGCTGTATGTGATATACATACATATGACAATATTGACATAGTTCAGAAATAAAAGACAGTGTCTACGCTGGCTAGGTCATGTTGTCCGAATGGACGGAAACAATCCAGCTCTGAAAGTACTTGACGCTGTACCCGCCGGAGGAAGCAGAGGAAGAGGAAGACCTCTATTCCRTTGGAAGGACTAGGTGGAGAAGGACCTGGCTAAGCTTGGAATATGAAATTGGCGCCACGTAGCGAAAATAAGAAACGACTGGGGCGCTGTTGTTAACTCAGTTATAATCGCGTAAGCGGTGTCTACTCCAATTAAGAAGAAGAAATATATAAACAATGCAACACAATAAAGATACAAAGACTAAAACAAATTTTTATATCAATATCAAAATGTCTTTAACCCACTTATTGAGGATATTTTATTCATCAATAGAAGGTTCTAACTTCAAATACTACAACACATCGAATTTTACAATAAAACARTTTATATTAATTGCGATCACAGTTGTATAGATGGTTTATATTGCACTTCGTTCTTTACAATGCATAAATGTTGATGATTCTTGAATTCACCGATATTGGACAAATTCTTCGCTGCAAATGGAAAATACGCAATTTCCTTTGGAAGTCTTTTGTACAAGATGATGACATGTAAACGATATAACACGTGCAAGTGAACTCAATAAATACTCTACATACATATGTAAACTTAATACTATACTAATAACTTTGGTACTTGTTACAGACTTCAGACACTACTTTCTTCACTATATTTTATTGGAAGCATTATATTAGGACTTTCACTAGGGGGATTCGAAGAGTATTGAGAATTCAGATAGTTGGTTTTCCTTTGTAACTGTGAATTTAATGGAGATTTGGTTACAGTGGATGTTTCTGCTGTCGTATTTACAACCTGAATATTAGAACAAGTTGGTTGCTTCGTTCTCGAAACACTGCAATTCGAATCCACAGGGTAGACTGCTGCTTTACGTTTGTTCGATTTCTCTCCCAATTGTGAAACCAGCGGAAAATTTTCAGTGCGTGTAAATATAAAATCCTCAGAAGACAGTCGTTTTCGAATGCGACCACCAATCGTTTCATGCTTTTTTTGTTTTGTAGGAACATTAATACTTGTGGAACAACTAGGAATATCAGAGTCATCAATAGTTTCGGCAGAGTTGAGGTCAGCCAGGTATGMAGCAGATTCGAATACTGGAAAGTGTGACTCTAGAACACCCGGCCTTATGATGATTATTTCTTCAGGGACACTTTGGCACTCTGAGATACCATTGCCCCTAGAATTACTACAGTACATCAATTTACCAGGTGTTGAAAATTGTTCGATAGAAGAACTGGCACTATAAAAAGTCGTATCAGMCG